TACCTCCTGGTGTTCTTTTATGTGCAGATGAATAACTATGATATCTATAATGTAGAAATTTGGTTTTCTTTTTACACATAAGCTGCAAAAAATGAACTGCATGAGCCGGAAGAGATGATAGCTAGTGAGAAATAGGTTTCTGTGGGTTATCTGAGGCCAAGAGTACTGGTTGACAGAAGGCTGGGTGCAGAAGAGGTGGTACAATGGCCACCTTGGAACAGCTGCCAGGGAGCAACAGGGAATAACAAGCAGACTGAGGAAAGCTTCAGTGGGAGGGATGGAGGTGGTGGAAAATAATTCATAAACTTTTCTGAGTAATGAGAAATACTCTTTTTAAAACCATATCATAAGTTCTATTACAATTTTTTTCTCTGGGGTCAACTCCTTTCAGAATCACCTTCTCTTTTAGGCCCTGGAATTTTACACTAAAGACTGTGGTGTCCTTAGGAAAAATGATCACAAATCCTTGGAAATCTGATTTGATTAGCTAATTCTCTAGCAATTAACTTCCATAGAAACAATCTCTAGAATAGTAATTCATCAAAAAGTGTTCCAGGTTCATTCTAATTCAATATATTATGCTTAAGAGATTAAGCCATATATAAATGATTATTAGGATTATCATAATTATATTATTAATATTTTTACAACTTCAAGTTTATTTTTGAAATAAAGGTTGTTTTTTTGTTCTCCCTGTGTCTATTCCTGTGGCATTCTTTTTATGAAGACACCAGTCATAATGGATCCCGGGTCCACCTTACTCCACTATGATGTCATCTTAACTAATCACATCTGCAATGACTTGATTTCCAAATGAGGTCACATCACATTCTTAGGTACTGGGGTTTAGGACTTCAAGATATATTTCTAGGGAGGACACAATTCAACCCATACCAGCCAAGAGAGTCAGAAAACAAAGAGGTCACCATACCATTTTCCCCAGTTCAGCTAGTAAAGATCTGCTTTCTGATTTTATACAAATATGTTGATATTTTTTCTAGCCACAGTAAAGTGTCTAAATAATAGCCTTAATGGGGCTGTAATTAGTGTATTAGCTAGAATACAGATTCCAGGTGCTCTAACAATGAAATGTTACAGTGAAAAATGAGATGGAAGTTTATTTTCCCATCAGTTAATCATCTGAGAATAAGCAGTCCAGGGATGATGTGACAACTCTGAATTATGAAGAACCCAAGATTCTTTTATATTATTGCCATCTTTAATGTGAAGCTGCCATCTCTGGGCTCAAATGGCTCCTTCAAATCTTGCCATCATGCTTACTACACATCTATTAAGAAAGAAATTGGGGCAAGGGAGTGTGTGTCCATTCCTTCTGAGAGCACAAGTGGAAAACAGAACACATCACTTTTCCCATCATACTGAACAGAACTTGGCCAATAGCGATACTCGCTGCCCAAGGCAGTTCTGGGCTATACCCAGGCTGGGAAATGCAGTCCTAAACCCACGACCAATTAAAAAAATCACTGTGGAAGAATAGAACAGCAGACGTGGTGTGGCCAAAGCCAGTCAACCTAGTAATACTTCTCAACTCCTTGCAAACTCATTCCATTCTTACGAAATTGGTCACTTTCAAGTTTCAAAGACTTCATTCGGTTCTTATCCTTTTAGGTCTCTCTGCAACATTTGATATAATTGACCAGTTCTGGACAACTAAATGTAAGGAAAATTCTACTTGTATTCCCACTAAATATTTTCTACCTTCCAAAAAGAGATTCTAAAAAGAACCCTCTTCTCCCATTTTGCTGATATGTGTAATTGTATGAAGACATGAGGTAGCCATCTTTGCACTGAGGGGACAAACCTAAGAATTAAATCAATATGTTAAGAGAAGTATCAGTGACCTCTCTTAGTGGCTACACCAAACCTGAAATTTTTCACCTCAAGACTCATTGTTATGTGAGATTGTTAAGTTTTTTAGTGCTTGGATCACTGTTGATCAGGAATATTTTGTTACTTATAGCTGAATGCATTATGACTAATTGTGTGAGGAACATGCAAATTTCCTTCTCTGGCACCATATCACTCTAAAATTCCAAAAGCCAGTACAAACCAGCAAGTCAGTTTGGATATCAGGGAAGAAAAAGCATCATTTGGAAAAACTAAAGACATGAAGGGATCATCTAGTGATGAATCTTTTTGGCTAAAGATGAAATCCATATGCTAATATAAAAGGACAGTGAGATTGTTTACATTGGAGGAGAAGCATGATAGGGTAGATTGGAAAAGGATATTCACATGTAAATTCATCCTGGGTCTCTTTGTTCAGAATTAGCATGCAAATCAATTTTATAGTTAGCTACCTGCCTAGGAAACTCTCAGCTGCCCTAGTAGTGGGGAAAAAAAAAAAAAGAGAGACAACCATATATATTTACCAGCAATAGATC